ATATATATATATATGTATAGTAAAAAGTTTGTACATAACATTTCGCATTTGTGCATGTCATTTATCCTTATGCAAAAGACATGTTGATATTTTTATAAATTTTATCCCATTAGTCCAAACTAAAATTTATGATAACTGGAAAGTCATCAAGACAATTTTTTTTTCATCTGGAAAAAATGATATTTAAACGAGAAACGTATAAAAAGTATTAAATAATGGAAGCGGCAGTATCAATTAATTGACTGTATATTTGTGTTACTGTATATTTGTGACTCTATACGTATAATCAGTTTAAACTCAAATTGGTGAAATAAACGGGACTTTAGCTTTTTTCTTTCTTCCATTTGACATAAGCTATCCTTTATATTCATGCTAGTTTAACTCTACGTGCTATCCACGCAACAAGTAACATGTATGTTAAGTTTTGATCACCTGTTAATATTAATTTTAATTCATTTAATAATAAAGATGTTAGTTAATTAGTTAGAGTTAAAAGAAAAAAAAAGGTGAGGTCAAAATGAAAAAAAAAAAGTAAATAGGTTTTAGGGTAATTGGAACCAAAATGTAAGAAAAAAAATAAAGTTTCAAAAAAAAAAAAAAAGATTAAAAAGGGACTAAAGGAAGAAATAAAGAAGTTTTAGAGCAAAAGGAACAAGAATGGAAAAAAATAAAATTTCAGGGTAAAATTAAAGAAAAAGGGTAAAATGAGACTAAAATGAAGAAATAAACAAGATTGAAGGTAAAAGGAATCAAAACGAAAAAATAAAGTTCAAGGAAAAAAAAAAGAATAAAAAAAGGACCAAGCAAAGAAATAAATAAGTTTTAGGGAGAAAAAAATGAAGAAATAATTGAATTTTTAGACAAAAGGAAGAAAAAGAATAAAGTTTTGAGACAAAATAAAAAAAGGATCAAAATAAAAAAATAAATAAGTTTTAGACTATAAAATAAAACTAAAATAAAATAAAATAAAGCACTTAAAAAAAGAGGGGAGGAGGCATTTCGACAAAAATAGTGTCATTTTGGGCGAAACTTGAAAGAACAAAAATGAAGAAATAAATAAGTTTTTGGCAAAAAGCAAAAAAAAAAAGACAAAATGAAGAAATAAATAAGTTTTAGCAAAAAGTGAACCAAAAAAATGAAAAAAAATAAAGTTTCAGGGAAAAATAAGAAAAAAGAGTCAAAAGGACTAAAATGAAGAAATAAATAAATTTTAGGGTAGAAACAAAAAAGAATAAAGTAAAGGACTTAAAAAAAGAGGATGGAAGAGATTTTGGACTAAAACGATGTCATTTTAATCGAAAAACGCATGAATAGTAAGAGTTTTTATGCTTTCTGCATATGTATAGATATAATCATAGTATGTTTTTTTTTTTTTTTAAAGTATACATTTTGGTAAAGAACGAATAGAAATAAGGGCGCATTCGAAAACTTAATTCAGTGGAACAATTAGGAGAAAGTATTCATGGAGGTCATACTTGATAAATAACATTTTTGAGAATTATAAAGGGATATATAAATTTTAAGGAGTAAAAAGCAACATGAATAGTTTAGGAAAAAAAAAAAAAAACGACAAAAATATAGAACGAAGATGTTATTAAACAGTGTTTTTGGGAACTCGGATTTATATATATTAGTAAGAAAGAATAGATGTGAGGGGAAAAAAAATTGTAGTGTCTTTAATATAGACGTATTGTAGAAAAAAATAAATAATAATTATCGAATCTTTAATCTAGCACACACTGACAACAATAATGTATAAAGATTATATCAGAGAAAATAAAGCATAAAAAAAAAAAAAAAACTTTCACAGCTTGAGTTTTTGTATGTTTTACCTAAAGAATAAAAAATAAAGTATAAAACGCATATTCAACAAAAACCTATAAAAAAAAGAAAGAAAAAAGACATAATGAAAGCGATACAGTTCAATTTCATCAACAATTTTGACACTGGAAAACCAATCTAGTGCCAACAATTTTGGCGTCAATTTGTCCATTATTTGCGACGACAAGTCGTCGCAAATATTGATACGTACGGCTGGCGGTGATGTGACAAAAAGAGGCAAAAAATTTAGCGATTTCCCGCGAAGAGGTTCGAAATATTTCTTTGATGACACGTGTCGTCACATAAAAGGGTTCCAGAAAATTCTATCAAAAATGACTATTTGTTGCGACGACTTATGTAATAATTTCATCACAAATAACTAGGAATTTAATTTTCCAAAAAAAAATGCGGAAACTTTGACGGTTTCCTTAAAATTATTTGCAACGACATCTTTAACAAAGTCGTCGCAAAAAATGAGCACGGGTATATATTTTTCAAGAATATTCTCAGAAATATTAATGAGGTAAAGAAGAACAACGACGTTTTTTTTATTAATTGCGACAACTGTTTAATATTTTTTGCGACAAAATAATGTCGTCACAAAAAGTGACCTATATAAACGCGATCGCAGAACTCCTTCCCTCATTTTTCTCGTGACCCTCCAGTTTTCTCTAATTTTCTCCGTCCAAAACCTCCAAAAACTGTCCAAAAATACTGAAAATAGCTTAGTATTATCGTTCTCTCCTCAAATCTTTCATTTGTGGACAAAAAAAGGCCAAAAAAGTGAAGTTTTCATCTCCCCCTCGCCGCCCACTTTTCCGGTCATCGTCGTTGTTTTTCGGCCGCCGTTGCCGTTCGAGCCATGTTGCCATACCGTTTTCCAACCCCCGGTGTTTGTGGGTTTAGATTTTGTGAGTTAATATTTTGGTATTTTATAAGTTGATTTTGGTATTTTGGTTGTGGTTTGTGATTTTGTTTTGAATTTTGAATTTAGTTTTTGGTTTTCGATTTTGAATTGTGAATTGTAAATTATAATTAAAATTGGAATATGTGGTAATTAGATTAAAATTTGTATGAAATTTATCCGATGATTAAAAAACTTAGAATAAAATTTTAATTAGTTTTACATTACTAATAAAATAATTAAATAAACTAATGTTAATTTTCATAAAATTTGATAAAACTTTATAAATTCTTCATAGTGGAGATTCCTATGGATAAGAGTTAGATACATTTAAGGCACTGATTGTCTGATGAGTACTGTGATGAGTTGTGTGCTTTTATTGAGGTTGGAAAGAATTATGCAAATTCAACCGGGGGTATTAGTTATCCGTTGATCAAGTGTAGAAATCATGAGATGCTACCACCAGAAATAATGAACGCACACATACATCGATGGGGTTTTGATACAAGTTACACCACATGGATTCACCATGGTGAAATACGTGTTGCTACTGCAGTTGTCAGTGAACATGTTGACGAGATGTTTGCTATGCTAAATGATGTGGTTGGGATTAGTGATGATCATGAGACGATGGGTGAGACAAAAACAGTTATAGAAGATACACATTACGATAAATTTAGGAATCTCTTATCCGAGCTCCAAGTTGGATTGTATCCGGGTTGCACTAAGTATTCTACTATAATTACATTTTTATTTTATTTTATTAATTACTTTTTACAATAATAATTTTTATTTCTATTTTTTATTATTTATTTCCTTTTATTTAATTATTCTTTATTATTATAATATCATGAATTATATTTAATATTGGGTTTAAATATATAATAATATACAACATTAATTATTAAAATGAGAAAAAATAAATAAAATATAAAAATTATTTACGACGACAAATGTGGTCGCAAAAAATATAAGCCACGTCATCTAATTCTGCATCTTTTACGACGACTTAATTCACAAAATGTTGTCGCAAATACCCAATGCCATGTCATCTTAATGATGTAACCGATGAAATAATTGCAATGAC